CATCCAATAAAGGATGGAGATTCTCCTTAGCCCTCCTTTTATTGCTAATGTATTTATAGAAACATTTTTTATTGTCTTTTATGGCAGCAGCCAGATTAACTTCTAGTTGGGCTTTGGCCCTTCTAATTTTCTCCCTGCATAACCTCATGACATCCTTGTAGATTCATCTATGATAACCTCACATTAATCTCTGTGCAAAACACTTTCCATTATAGAAAACCACCAACTCCTCGAGAGCCAACAATATCATCTCTATTTTTAAGTCACAGAAGCATTCAATATTACAAACTATAATTTTCAAGTAATTTCTACCAATCACAAACGTTACTTTGAAACCAAATTGTTTCTTGTCAAACTTGGAAGCCAAGCAGGTAGTCATCAGTCAACCACAAACTGCTGACATATGAGGACCTACCCAGTTCTGAAAACAAATGAAGTTACTGGAAACATTACTGGAAAGTCAAACCAAAGGATCAATCTAGGATGTTTCCACTTCCATTTTGTCAAAATGTCCAGTTAGTCAGATATTTTCAACACTCAAAGATTCACCTGCAAATCACTGTAATCCACCAAGTAAAGGAACTGAAGTTGGTAAAGGTAGTTTTAGCAATGTATTCAATCTTTGCCTAAGTGTATGACATACCTCTAAATTTTTGTGCCAAAAGTCAGACCTTTCTCTTCAACTGGGAATACTAATTGCTCAGCTATTTAATCAATATTCAAATTAAATAAATTCTATACATTTGTGCTTAGGTTGGAGAATGAAAGGAAAACTTTATTGTACTAAAATGCATTTTGTGTAACCTTGAAAAGCAGTAAATTAAAAGTTGTCACCACAAAATTTGCTGTCATTCTAACCAATACCCGGTTAGGCCAAAAAGGTGGTAAAGATTTTGTATGCTATTTGAGGAGAGATTATACTTCATTCCTAACTTACATAAGTGGATATCGCATTTTGTAGTCCCTGGGCATAGAGACATAGCTCATTGATTTCAGTTCAACATAAGTAACTGCCATTCAAAGCCAAAGCTAATTCATAATTGCTCCATTATTTTCAGAATGAGCTCACTGGAAAGTAAGGATATATCTGCTCAGGGAATGCATTTCCATGACATCATTATGACCAACTATCAATGCATTCCTTCAGTCCTCATAAATGTATGTGTGCTAGGGAGCACACTTTAAAACTGAAAAGTAAATAAACAGCTTGTAGCTAGGTAGTTCTGGTACCTGCTTCGTGGGTAGTTTCAGGCACCATTGCAGTGGAGGTGAAGGAAGCACTTACTGCTCCAGTGGAATAGTGAGCCTGTTCGCAGAGGAAAAAGCAAGAGAAAAAGACATTAGATCTTAGAATTTATCTACTAAAGATACTGTATAAGCACTAGAAACACAGAAATGTCATCCTTCTGAAGGCAGACTTTCCGCTCTAGCTCCTATAGAAAGAAACAAATGCACGATGCAGCGATAATTCTCCATCTGTTACCCATAACATTTCCTCTGATGAAACTCTAGTTAAGGCTGCCCATGCGCTGAGCTGAAGGGGCTTATTGCTTTCACTACAGTTTAATACATCATTATGCAAAGATTCTATTATCAGAATTTATTTGTATGTCCATAGGTGGAGATATGAAGGGAGTACTGCTGGCAAGACATCTGTAAAATTCTCCAACGTTGCTGAGTAAGTGGAAGGAAAATCCAGTGAACCACAGAGATACTGAGGAGGAAAGCAAACCACCCCCCCTCCCACACATAGCCCTTCTGCGTGCAGAGGCACTGTCCCATGGTTCCCAATGTCTATTTTGAGCTTTGTAATTCTCCTGCAGAAAGGAAACGTGAACGTCACACATGGATTTTGTAGTAAATTACGAAGATCTAATAACCCAGACATACATTTAGTGACTCTGGGGCAATGCCTGTAAAGAATACAGGTCAGGCCAATGCTATACCCATAAGGTTACACTGCATCCTATACAAGTTTATAGTTATGCCCATCCACATCATTAGCTGACATTCTGACTCTCCAACATGTGTAGTGCTCATTGTTGGCTCTCACCTCTTTTTTTTTCTCCCTGCATCTTTTGTTTTCTTTCACTTTTCTTTTGTTTTCATACACTATGATGCCCTGAAAAAGGGGCAAATGTGATCCTACTCCTTAGTCGCTCCCTAATCTGTCACTAAGCTTCCTCATTAAAAGCCACATGCTGCATTGCTATTCGTTTTTGTGTAAGTGTAATCAAAGCACGAAGACACACACATCCCAGAATTATTAAAGGAAAGAAGAATACTCTGTCTTGCCCATTTCAAACAGCCTTTGATGTAGGAAATCTAGATGCAGATGAATTGTTTCTCTTGACAACTACGAACACACAGTAACATGCACTTGGAAGAACATCCTTTAAAATACTCCACTAAAAATCCTGCATTCCAGTGGAAAAAAATGGAGAAGCAGCTGTGGATCATTTATATATTTGCCTACACCAGAAATGATTCACTTGCACTGCCCTTAAGGTGTGTTCTCTCTGCCAATAACTGCAGGAAGCAATGATAAACAACTTCAAAGCAAGAGATTACAACCTGGGAAGAAAGGTTCTGCCAACATATACATCATAACCACATCATAAAGATTATTCCTTCTTATTGTGCTCCATTTCTAAAATGTTTAGGTTCATTTACAATGATTTAACAAAAAGAAACTCACTGACACATACCATGTATTTCTAAGGAATCCCAATATGATTCTCACATTCTCATCTATGACAAATTTCCATGTAACAGAAAACAGAAGGAGTAGTGTCTGTTTATACTGCAGTATGGCCTCTAAGCTAAAAAACATCTATTACCATTCTTGAAGAAGTCAATCAGTGCCAAACTACAAATTAAGCCAACTTACTGCATTCAGCTTATCCACCTTCTTCTTTTCAGGAGCCTTCATAGTAGCTGCTAGAATATCATCACCTTTGAATTCTTTATAAAGCTCCAGTAAAGTCTCTCGGGTCTCTGTATTTGTATTTTTCAAATAGTAAGATGGATCTAATTTTGCTTTTTCTTCATCTAGATAAGACAAAGTTAAATCATTCAGAGTTAAAAGAAAAATTCTTTTTTGTTCTCCTTTAGTTTATTACATATCTAGTTACACAAAAATCTTCCAGATATTATTTCTACTTTTCTTTTTAAATAAAAAGGCCTAGTAACTATATTTATTCCTGCAGAAACAGTAACAAATAGCAATGCATAACACTAACGACAGCATAACTTGAAATATAGCACAATAAATGCCAATATGATGAAGTATAACAAAGAAAAAAAACAACTTCAAGTCAACTACTGCAAAAATTTCTCTGAAACCACTAGAAATTATCTAAGCTCATGCAAGTCTTGTAAAATTTTTATAGAACAATAAAGACAAGATACAGTTAGGTACAATATAAACTTCTGTCCTGTGTCTCCTCACTGAATGGCCAGGCCTGTGATGCAAAAATCCCAAGATCAGATCTTTAATGTGATACCAGGTGGAGGAGCCTGGTGGACTGGACTGAAGAATTTGATTTTTTTTTTTTTTTAATTTAATTTTTGTATTTTTACAAGTTTCACTTGTTCTCTGTCTTGGTATGCCAAGATATTTGCTGGATATTAAATATTCCATCTGTGAGATAATACCCATTTATTTTTATCGGGTAAATAGAGAGAGAGATGCTTGCTTGCAGAACTAGTAGCTTTAAAAAAAAAAAAAAAAAAAATTATGAGCATAATAAGACCCAGAAAAACACACCATGCTTAGAATCAGCAATTAGACCTCATTAGAAACAGTTCTAAAGGAAATCACAAGGGCAGAGAATTTTTTTCTTTCAGCAATTTAATATTAGCAGATATTACTAAGCATTTAGCTATCAAAAAATCACAAAAGAATTGAGAAGCAAATTTCTTAGATATCTAGAAAGAAAAGAAAAAGCGTTTTATTTTTATTATTAAAATAATTTTGGGACTATTTGAGAAAAATGATACTTGGAAGATGTCCATTGTTATCCAGACAGAAGGATGAGCAATACATTGTTGATACACATGAAAGAGAGCCTAGCAGACAGGTATCAGAAGATGCAGATTTCCTTGTTTGGTTCTGGGACAAGGCTAATGGACCTTTTGGCAAATTATTTTTCCTCCTCTTCTCTCTCTTCTACCTACTCTTAAAGGATATGGAAAGCTTTCCGTGTTTGCACAGCACTCAATAGAGACAGTTAATGATTTCTCAAAGAATCATGTCTTTGCTTCAAAATTTGTTAACACCTTTTGATGTGAAAGGGACAGTTTCAACAAGTTATTCATGTTTCCAAGAAGCTTTCAAAAGTTACCACTAGCCAGTGAGGGATGTCCATCCAGAAAACACTGTCAATTCCGTAACGTCGTCTTTAGAATTTGCGTATTTGGCTTGGTGTTTTCCCAACCTACCTTCAATTCATCCTTACCTGGATCAATTACTTTTATGTTGTTCTTAACATGAAAGAAGTTCGAGACATTGAACTTATCCAGGTTTGTTGGATCCTGAAAATAATAATTAAAAAAACAAGTATCAGAGAGCTTGGTAGGCACCCATTCCACGCAACAGACTAGTTTGAAGGGCAAACACCACCATAACAAACAAATAGGGAGAGACAGAATAACTTCCATACTCCCCAAACCACAGAAAGATGAAAAAATATAAAGCAATCAACCCCAGCTGACATCAGCAATAAGCCTGTTCACAGTAGCCTCCTTAGGGATCTGGAATTCAGTCCCAATCACAATATTACACATATTTTGCCTACAGAAGTTACTAACAGAACTAAGCTGAGTCTACCCTATCCAGTGAGAAGAAAGAACAAGGAGCTGCAATCCCCTGATTCTTTCCTTCGTTCTGTGGTTTGGTCTAAGATCTCTGCAAATTCACGTTAGTATCTCCTTCTATTTATAACAGTGTGCCCGATTTGCACATGCTCTGTGAACTTTTGTAAACCATTTCAAAACACAAATAAACCTCGGAGCAAGTCTTTGCAGTCAGAACTGTTTTGATTGGGTTTTTTTAACTAGTGAAATCTGTGCTTACAGAATTACATTTAAAAATAAAAAATAATAATTAAAAAAAAGCAACAAAAAGTGGTATTATGAAAACTCTATTGAGTGACCACTCAAGGAAAACAGCAATAATACACAGTCCATTAACTATGAGTCTTTATACTATCTCTAGGCAACTTTCTGCATAACTTTGACCTTTTGTTGGAGAGAGTGAGACAAGGAATGCCTATTGGTGATCTAGGTTACATTATACTATTATTAAACAGTCCTTAATCCTCTTTTTACAATGACTTCAAGGTTTTCTCCTCAAGCTCCTCTGCAGCACAGAAAGGTCAAAACTTAAGCCCAGGACACCCAGTCATTTCTGGAAATTCTATCTTACAGAAAACAATTCAAAATCTAAAATACCAAAATATCTTAATAATATGCAATAGTTTCAAGTTCAGGATAAAAATAATGCAACATATTATGCAAAGAACTGCGACACTGACATGAATAGTATTACCCCAAATAAATTTAACAAAGCTTCTCAGACCACCACTGTTGGTAAGAAGTTCTGACAATTCCATCTCTGATAAAAGCAATGATTAATACAAAGAGAACTGGTAGCTCCACCACTTATTAAATGATCTAATTATGCCTTTGTTCATCCCTGAAATAGTATGCTTCCACCAAAGAGTGCATTTTTAGTTTTACTGCTGGTAGTAAAACCAAAACACATTCATGAAATCAAGCTGTGTGATTCTGCACCCTAATGATGACCTCCTGGCTTTCTGCTGTCCCCTTTCCCAACCACTATATAATCATTTTCTATTGTTTCCTGCCCCACTATACCCCTCCGACAGATCTTCATCAAGACATGGACTGCCAAAAAAAATAGGTTTTTTATCTTTAAGATCTTGCATTAGAAACAGATAATCTTTGAATAAAACTACTAAGGAATAGGAAATTTGGACCTGTTTTTTAACCATTTTTGTATCCTCTGACACCAACGCTCAGGTGTATTCATTATTTATTACCTCACATACATATTTATGTATGTATGAATAGAGATAACTTCAGCCTTGCTCTCTGACAGTCAACAAGATGCATGGATAAAGTCTGGAGAAAGAGCTCAGTGTGTTTCCAAAAGACACAGGCTGCCTCCTCCCAAATACTCTTCAGTAATCACGAGCTGCAGCTTTCCCAGACAGAAATCATCACCTTGCACATAAATGTACCACCTTGAAAGGTGAGGGAAGTAAGACTGCCTACCTTTTCCAGGAGAGGAGAAAAAATAATCTGCGTATTAATAATAGAGACAAATGGATTTATAGCAATCCACATGTCTGCTGTTCATGGCAAAGCTGAAGGGCAGGACTGACTCCTGAAACCGACTTTTCATGGACAGGAGCGAGGGCAGGAGACAGCAGTAAAGATGAACCAGAAAACACCTTCACTATATTCCTCTAAATAAAGCTTCTTGATTTACTGATTTATTGATTGTTTAAAAAGAAATAAAAGGACATCACAACTGCCAGTGCCTTATAAAACCAAGTGTTTTGTGCTCAGGGTACCACGAATCAGATTAGTTCAAACTGTTTCACAGCCACAGTTCATTCAAACGTTTACCTGACTTAACCAGCCTAATTGCAGGTGTTGAGCAACTCCAGCAAAAATGTTTACAGCCTCCTTCCCTGCAAGGGATTTCGCAGGGCTCTCCAAATCGCCGCTAACCTCCCCATAGGCAACACATCCATCATGGTATGAAGGACAGCAGAGGCCACATGGCAGCTCCCTCTCCTTGCAGACCACAGCCGTCCATCAACCCCAAACCCCAAAACAGAGACCAAGGTCCTCCACACAAGGTCCTTCATCACATTGAGGTGGGCCATTTGTTCAAATGGAAACCTTGACAAAGGTTTGATCTACAGAGTTGACCCTTGTGTTCCTGATTCTGCAAAGCAGGAGTCTCACCAGGCATCGAGAAGGCAGACAACCCACGTGCCTATTCCAAAACCAGCTTCCCTCTGTCAGTGGAAAAAAACCTCAAAGATGGTTCCTCAAGTTGAAATTTGAGTGTCATCTTACACAGGACACCTAGGACAAAGCGGTTGACATATTGATTCCTCCCTCTAAAATACAGCATCATGATACAGTAGGAGAAGTTTGATTAGCATTAGTTTGATTAGAATTAGACAAACGCGCATACTAAGTGTGACAGTACTGTGGTGAATATTAAGTTAAACACAAGACACCATTTGCTTCTACCATCCCCAAGTGCAGAAACACATCTGACCAGTCCAACCTGTGCTGCAGAAGACACAAACCATTTCCTTACTGATGGTACTGAGTCCTACAACACAAGATACGCATTTTTTTTTAGAAAAAGTCTATGTAAACTTTAAAAGTGCACACAGTCTTTAGACGTATCACTTCAGGAAGAAAACTGTCTAAACACTAATAATTAGCCTGCCAAGTTCCTCTCATTGCATCCATGACAGTTACTGGGCACAGAATCAGAGCAGTCCGACCAAGACACGGCAGGGACGGCAGACGGACGTACCCGCCTCGTCAAAGCCTTGAGCTCTAATGAATTAACGGCCTCTCCTGGTCACAGAAAGGCTGGACTCACGGGGATGCTCCCAATCCTGTTAAGATTAAGGCCTAGAGCCCAAAGGCCTAAAGAAATAAGTTCTGTGTAAGCACACAGAAACCAGAAAGGAAGATGAACCATGAAGAGTCAATTGGCCTACTTTTGTTTGTCTTAGCATGTTTAAAAATATGTATTCAAATTACCACGAGTAGCAGTCTCAGGGTTTTTCTTATTAAGATTACAAACCATAAACTTTAGTTTAGCAAATTACTAGCACGGATACAGACTTCAAAGGGTTGCTAACTATCATGACTATTAAAAATCTCATATTTGATGTTTTCCTGAAAGCTGAGCTCTGAAAACAATTCATCTCAAGTTTTATTCCACTTGGTTTTTTCCTATCATTTTCCGGTTTCACCCACTTAGAGAAACAGCTTAAACTCCGTTAATCTTAAGCACCATACACACAACCCCCCAAAAAAGCAGGTTAAAACCAGCGCAGTTTTAGACCGCGTGATTTCTTTGAGGCCTGATTCCTCTCTTTCCATTTGATCGGCCATGCCGCATCCCCAATTATCTTCAGTACTGTTACCTTCATACATCCCATACCACGTCCCAACGTGTCACTTCTTTACCAGCCACTCTGCACGTGCATTGGTGCAGGATTCGCCCTCAAAGAGCCCTCACCTGCATCTGAGAGGAAATCTGCTCTGACCTTCTGTCACACAAAGAGCAAACAAGAAACAGCTGAGGAGTGAAATACCAATTAACAGTATGCAGCTCAGCCACCTCCAGCTTAGCTCATTAGTTATGCTTCCTGCCATAAATGCCAATGGTGTTTAACAGCTTGTTGGGAACCGTGTCTTGTCCGCGGCTGATTAGGTTGTACAGAAACAATAAAATTGACATAAGGAAGCACATAACAATATGAGCCGTTGTTTTCCTTTAACGGCAGCAAACCTGTTTGCATTCTACCCAGACTTTTTTTTTTGTCTACTTATTTCTCCCAGGAAACCCCCTCCATTTCTGTGGTGCAAAGCAGGTGCATTTATCAGCATGCATCTCCCAGGGAATGCTCTCAGCAGGCTGCCTTCAGAGGACTGTCTGTTACCACTGGCATAACAGGGTTGGGGGGGTTTATTGCAATTCTTCTGGTGAAGAGGAACAGACCACCTCTGCCTCTGCTTTACCTGCAAGCACTGCTGTTGAGCAGAGCCACACTTCTCACTAACTCCCCTCCCCTGCCGGCACACAGCCCAGCAATAGCTTCTAAGAGTTTCCAGAGCAGGGATAATTTCTGCTGTATCTTCACAAATTTGAGAGCTGTGGTTTCTGGTTTGTGAACAGAGACACAGTGGAGGATGAAGAATTGACAAGGGGCTAAAGGGGAAATTGTTCTTAGTTCCTCTGAACACTTCCTACCAAATGGGATGTGAAAGCAGAGTATTGCAGCATTCTTACTTTGCTCTCCTCAGGACCCTCTCACACTTGTTGCGATGGGAAGAAGTCCACAGGACTGTCAGAGCCCACCACCGTGTCCAGCAAAGCACTACCCGACCCTGTTCCTCTCTGTGCCTCTTGAGCTAGGGCAGGTGCCTGCTTCAGCCTGCCCACTCTGTTCCACATCATTACTCAAAGAATAATTTGCAAAATATATGACTGAAACACACACGGAATTTACAGTAACACTAATGAATAATAATTTCAACCAGACTGTTGCCCAGATTTTGTCACAAAGATTAAATGGTGGACAGCACACCTTGAGATCTAATACCCCCAAAAAATTTTACTTGGAAGATAACTTCAAATTAGGTTAAATATTTAGACTGAAAACTAGCTGAAAACCTGTAAAACATAGGGCTGAAAGAATCATCTAGTTCCGAATCATAGTCTAATGCAATCTTCTTATGTCAAAACTCTTTCAAAACTATACTGAATCCTACCTTTTGAACAATTGCAAAGTGAAATGATGAACAGCAATGCACCAGAATGAGAAGCAGAAAAGGGAGGTAAGAACACTGCAAACAAGCTTCAACAATACCAGATTACAGATACCTATTACAGATACCCTAAGTGCTTTACATCATACCTTACCCATTAAGATTAACTAATAAATCTTGAAGTACTTGAACTGTCTGTCAGCTGGTAGCACATTCATGACATTTGCAAGGGATGCTAAGTTAGGCTGAGCTGATCATCTTTCAAGGTAGAAGAATACAAGTGGGTTTAGAGTTATGAGAAACACAGACAAAATACAACAGTAATATTCCATTTAGAAGAGATACGAACCAGTACAGATGAGAGAAAAATTACCTGAAATAATGATAAACTGTAAGGAGAGAGAAACTTGGAAAAAATTAACACCTGCACGGTAGAAGATGGAAAGCTTGACTTGAGTTTGTGGCAAGATCACACAGCTAAGAAAGGAGCTACCGTCTAAAAAATCCAGTCATACTAAGACTGCTGGTGTCTAGGAAGGGTTTCATATGGGATAATGTCACATGTATTTCTGTCATTATCAGCAAGGTATTAAACCAGAATCCATGACATCTTTTGCCTGAATAACTACATTCCAGTTTTGGTAATGTATCTTGCACACCAGGATATGGTATTGTTCTTTACCTCCTGCCCTGAGGGGCTGGATAATATCGCCATATGTTGATGAAAAATTGCCATGCTCTACCCCAGGACATTTGCATTTCAACAGCGAAAAAAGCAACTTCTGTGTATGTAAGTGCAGGAAGCACTGTGGATTCCTTTACAAAGAGAAGCACATCATAGATCTAGGTGTTATTAACAACTAAAGTTGTGATTTTGCTTTTTTTAGTTCCAGATCCAAAATAATTTGTCCTTTTTAACAAGTAAACTTAATTGCAATAGGACACAAATAACTATCACTAAAATCAAAGCAACCAGCTGAGATGGTGCTCACCAGAAAAGATAACAGGGATGGATTATGATTAGTGTTTGAATAATGTTTAGCCCCGAGAACAGAACAAAGAATTTTATGCAATTCTCTCTCTTCTGGAAAGAGCAAATTTGTTTTGTTTTGTTTTTAATTATATACATTAGGAGAGAGAGGTCAAATTTGAGGTAAATTGCTATTCTGGTAAAAGAACATCCTTAGCAGCTGTAGGATTGCCCTTTATGTATCAAAAAGGAAAAATGTGATCATATAAATAATCTGTAAACATACATTATTCAAATTTTCCATTTATCATGTTGTATTTCACTACCAAACACAGGTACCCCATCTGCTTCCTAGGACATTCAGAGTCAGCCTCTGGAAACGCTATTTTCTATTGATAAACACAGCTATTACAGACAGTCCTATTCAGCTGTTATTTGCAAAGCAAAGAATGTTTTTTATAGCAACTTCCTTTATATCTACCTTTTTGCCAACAGCAGGGTCAGTGTTACCAACTCACTCTCAATTCCAGCTCTCTCAGATACCACAGTACTCAATTTACACAGGGGAATGGGAAAACAACAAAGTGATAAATTTCAACACAGAATTGAAAGCTTTTTAAGAGAAGCAGGTATGGGGATAGAGCTCTGGAGCCACAAATTGAAACACAACAGATTGCAGTCACGAACTCTGGCTAAGAAACAAAGCCACGGGTGGTAGAGCTTGGCAGTGTGAAGCCACCACGCCGCCTGCAGTGTTGTCAACAAGAGAGCTTGTAGGGGAGACATTGGCCTGTCTTTCAACAACTGACATGAAGAAAACAGTATGAGAAAATAACAACAGATTCGTATACCACATATACATAAGCAATTTTAATACCCAGGCTAGTCATACCACTGTGAGTTGCATTCTGGCCTCAACAAAGGAAGTCAGGGCAGGGCAGCATTTGAATAGGAGAAATCAAGGTATACTTGCAAGTTTGCAGTGGGTGTTGTGCAATGCATTAAATGGCTCTTACTTCTCATTCAACACCCCAAAGCCATTTTAAACTGTTTGTTGAAAATCCTTTTTTGAAAAAAAAAAAAATTAAAAAATAATTGGGTGAAGGGTCAAACTTTAGCTGGTTAACAGCATTCAGATGGACAAAATCTCTTCCAGTCCAATCCCAAGATGGGGGTACCTTTGCTATTTCTAAACTTATTTGAGAAGAGCATACCACAAGATTGTACACTACAGAAGTTAACACCAATCCATAACGAGCTGTTTACTTAAGAGGAACAAATCTACTCGTGCATTACGAACGTCATCCTAAATGGACATGAGAGAGGTACAGGCAATGTATGGCTGTGACCTCTATGTAGCTGTCAGGATGACTGTACCGGTGACTGGACAACTATCATTATCTATTTAGTTTCTGTTAATGGACATATTCCTCCAAGCAAGATAGAAACCCAACATGTCAAGAACAGAATGAAGATGAAAAATATTGATAAAAATCCACATCGGGAACATTTAAATTACTAGCTATTGCATTTTGAGATCTAGGGGACTATAGCATCTGTTTGCTTTTATGAAAAATCAAAGCTAGGCGTGTAATGGGAACACACTCTTTGTACATACATTCAATTCCAAACCTACAAAACATACCAAATATTTTTAAATGACTGCACATTTCGATTATTTGCTCAAAATAATTTGGTTTTCCATACTGATGCAACAGAAACATTTTTAGTCACTCATGTTGTCTTTTTTTACCGTTCCAAATCCATTAGCAACCATGCAGTTACATTCAAATAACATTCTGTTGGGAGCTTTCAATTTGAAAAAGCTATGTTTTTTGCTTCCATTGGATTAAAAACATTTTACTTTGTTGCATTAGTTTGAACAGCCACAAGCCCAAAGGAATAGAGGAAAAATATTTATAAACATGCTGTTCAGCACTGGGGAGTAGGGAAGAAGGTATACATTTCATTTAAATTTAGACATAAATGAAAAATATTTTTCTATTCAAATTAGACTGTATTAGTCTTGGTTAGTGGCAATTAACTGTTCACGAGATGCATACTAGCTCGTGACTCCAATAATAATGATCCTTGAATCTTTTTTCCCGTATTTTGAAATCATGCAAGCTTAAAAATGTCTACTTCTAAATAAAAGTTTTAGATCTTTTGACATTAAACTTCATAAATAATAACTATCTTTTACACTCTAAAATTTACAGTGCTGTTTTAATTTAGGTTTTAATTCTGTTAAAATCAGTAAAATGCCAACATTGGTATCTATTCAGAAGAAAACCATTCTAAGCAAGCACTTAAAGAAAACCCTCTGGTTTACTGCTTATTTTACTCTACATTTAGAGAAACATTCTATAAAAAATGCTTTTCTGAAGCTTTGAGACTTTAAGACATCTTCAAAAGAGTAAGATGGACAATCAACTTCAGTCTTAATGTTACATGTCAACTTCCTAAAAGTTTATATACTTTATATTCTAAAACACGTTTCTTTTGATAACATAGACCACGTACTGTTGGCTCTCTAGAGCTGAAGATGATTCTGGACATATCGTTACCCTTCCTCTACCCAGTCTTTTCCCAATGCACTTCTGTTAAGTCTCACAATAAATCGGAGGTGTCACAGCAATTTTTCAGGTAAGAACCTAAAATCTTATGTGTAGTTTCATATCTAAAACTTACAATTATGCACAAGATCTTATACTCAGTCGGATACAGTGAAATAGTGAGCAACCGCAAATATATTTGTCAAAATTCACATTTTTACATGGCCGTGGCATCCTTGACTTTTTCTGGGCACCTTTTTTTTTTCTCTCCTTCAATTTACAACATTGAACAATCCTCTTATCTACAAGGCACACAATAATCACTCCAGAGATTTGTCAAGCTCTAAGTTATATGGCATCTTCGTGGCTCATCTGGATAACAAAGAAAATACAGCAGTTCCCCTTCTACCCATCTCCAAGACACACACAGAGACAATGTTTCTCTGTTCAATTATTCTAGATTCCTGCTATAACAGTGTACATAGCAACATTTCATCCTCTGCAAAACAGCTGTAGAGTAAGACATGTAACAGAGACAAAAGTTTACCTGCAGTGTCACAATGTCTTGCCGAGTGAAGGGCTCATCTGTCAAAAGATCCTTGTAGCTCTTTGGTTTTATGTTCAGCTGCTCAACTGCCTAACAGCCAGGCAAAAGACACAGATATTAAAAATTGGATTCTAATGTGTAAATACTACAAGTAAATATGTGATATCAATAAAACCTTAAAGTACAAATGATAAAGAAAACAATTTCACCCTTCGTTCTCAACTAGCAGCTGCAATATTTTCATTGTGTGCTTTAACAGATGAGAAGCTTTTGTCTCCCATCCCTACAAAACTCAACAGTTTGTGTGGTTTGGGTTTTTTTAAAAAAAAAACAACAACTTTGCAGTCTCCATTCCATAGTTATGCATACCATTTTAACCAAATTCATCAAAAAAGTACTGCCAAAATAAAAAAATCTTGCTTGCAGTTTTCTAATTTAAGTATTTTACAGATGGTATAAGACAGGCAGCTTTAACAAGGGGTCCATATCTCCCCCACTGTTAGCACCCCTCGGGGAGACACGCGTGTCCCCGGCCAGCTCTGCAACAGCGGAGTTGCATTAGCCCCTCACATTCTGTCCACCCTGACTGCTGCACCTCGCCTGCAGCAACACTTCTGTTCACCTGAAAAAATTAAATGATGCTCAACAAAGCAGCAGCGTGTTATTTTGTAGCAAGAATCAATGTGGAATAAATGCTTTGTTGTTACAGACAAATACATCATACAGAGAGACAACTATGGAGGTCTACCTGCAAAAAACCTGAATCTGTCTCATTCACCCGAATATCCTCTATTCTCCTCAGATGAAAGCGATAATATTTTTCTACCTCCAGAAGTCCGTAAATTAATTCTATGCTTGTAACAAACGGATAAATGGTATTGCTCAAGTGGTACACCAACGAGAAACAGACCCTCTTGGCACAGCTTGTTTAGGAAGCCCAATACAAATTCTAGCAAACTGAGCAATAGTTTTACAATGTTGACAAGCATTTAACAAAGACTACTCTTAAACTCCTTCTTGCCTTTTAACCACAGCAATCAAAGCATCATGCTTCCAGAAGGAACAGAAAATACTTTCTATTTTAACTTAATCTTGACTGCTCTCACAGCTGGAATGAAGTTCAACTACAACAGAGCAAGCCTTTTCCTTGATTGCAATGGTTTCAGCTTGTTCCTCTCTCCGTATCTGAAAGTCCTACTGGAATTTCCCATCAACAGACTTAAAAAAGCAGATGTTTCAGTGTTCAGACTTTTTACAACACTGGGTGTGGATCCATTAATTGAAGGATTTACTTGCTACTGAAAAATAAATAAACCTTGCTTTTACAGTAAGGATTATGCAAACAAGTCACAACTAAAATTCCACCTGGGTTCACATAAATGTTCACAAAACACAGATAAAAATGCAGTTCAAGTGTCCATTAAGGCATTCTCTGCTCTTTCCCCAGCTCTGGTTAAAATACTCTTTTTTATTCATTGATATGAATAGAAATGAGGCAATTTGTGTTTTGGTGATGACTCTGTATCAGAAAGAAGACAACAGAAGATTAGTCTGTTAATTCAACTGAGGAGCGTATAAAAGCTACTCGTTTTGGTCTACAAGATTCAGTGCATGAAGATTAACTTAGGAAAAGGTTTTAAAAATATCTTTTACGTCATATTCTAGGGTTGTTCATATTTTGAAGGCAAAAACTGGACAACAATTTGTGAAGTCAGTTCATCTCCCTGTACTTTAATTGTACAAGGCTGTAAAACAAGAATAAAACTTACCTATCTTTCTAAAGCATTTTGTGATCTTGAATGAAAGTATAAAATATTAACAATGAAATGCAACAGAGAACCTACCTCATAGGCAAACACATTTCCAGTTGTCTTGATGGCCACAATATGGGAGTTATTAGTGAACACAGTAAACAGCACCGGACAGTGGTATTTACCTGATGGAGAGGAAAAAAGTTTAAATTTGGCACAAAGTCCCTGCAACTACTTTGAAATAGCTAATTTCTGTTACCTCTGTGAAGGATATTTACATTGACTTTTAATATAAAGTGTAACTTCAGTGTGTATTTAATGGTGTTTTAACTACACTTTGATTCTTCGGTGCCAAATAGAAAAAGTAACACTTAAGAGTATTATAAAGCAAGCAATGAAAATGCAGTTTTGCAATCTACTGCCTTCAATCCCCCAACACAGAACTTTGTCCAACTTGCTTGATATCTATGAAGCACCACAATATAACTGTTATTGTTGTAATCAAAGCTCTATTGATAGTGTGAGCCTGTACCTTGTAACATGCCCCGTGCTCTATTTTCAGTGTTGTTCCCAGGAATAAAAGTTTAGCTTATATCCTACAAAAAAGTTCACAGCAGCTGTTGTGCTTTTAGGAGAGGAGAACATTTTGTATTCAAATGTGGCAAGCAGAATGCCATTAAATCTGAACACGTTATTCAATATGGAACCCAGCTTCTGCTCTAATCAAGCTGTGAATTTTCCCAGGAGGATCAGCATAAACATTAAGCATGTCAACAACAAGCAAACTGATGGAAGGCAATGTACGAGGAAAAAGAAAAATGTCTGGATGATCTCAGCAGAAAGCAATTAGAAGAAGGTTATTAATACTTGATCAGTTTGCTAGACCTGGGGGTTTGGGTGAGATTTTTGAAATAGTTTGGGCCTATTTGATTCTTTTTTCCCTAATTACCACCTGAAAATCAAAACCAGCAGGCAGACCAGAACAGAGACTGCTCACAGCACCTACAAAGATAGGAGAGGCAAGCGCCTACGGAGTATTTACCGATTAATTGATCAGCCAGAGGAAGCAACTCTGACCTCCAGCTCGCAGATGCAAGCAAAAGCTGAGGACTGTTTCTGTTAATGCCACCAGAGCTGAAGGAAAGCCATTGCTACAAAGGTCTGAAATTCAAGAGGAAGTTCAGAAAGGGATTTTTGGAAGTGGCATCAGCTCAACTGATGGATACAGAAACACGCTAGTAAAACGTGAGGCCTCACTCCTGCTGCATAAAAAAGAGTAAATCACCATGTTTTCAGTTCTAGCAAAAGCAGAGCTGCTGAGAGCACACACTTGTTGATCTGGATAGAAGGTACTCAGCTAAGGAGGGATCATTAAATGGAAGAAACTGCAATATCTGAAGACCTTTTTGATTGGTGTGAACCGAGAAGATCCTACATACACAGCAACCATTATACATGTTAAGATTTAAAAAAAAGTTTGCTGATAGACAGAAGTGCAACATTTTACTCTTCCTCTTTTGTTGCATCTTCCCTTGATCTATTAATGACACAGCATGCACCTTTTTAAGGAAAAGGCTCCTGAGACTTCATGGCTGCCGTCATTCCACCCCAGCATTATGAACTGGACTTCTTTAAGGAAAGCACAACATTGCAATATCTTTCAAAAACCTTGGCCACAGTTACTATTGATCATTTTTTAACACTCTGCTCTTGAGACAGATGGTACACAAAACGCAGAAGAAATCCATCAGCTAGAGAAAAGACCTTCTAGTCTATGGACTATTGGTAAGATAAGGAGACAGACACTCCAGAATTTTATTCCCACATAATCCTGGCCACTCTTGTTTCAAAGAAATCATTATCTGCCTTGTGAAAGATGAATTCATCTCCACTGTTCTCTTTTATTCCTAGCATCCTATCTTAGATGGCAGATTTTATATATTTAACCCTGCAGAAATAAAACTCGAGGCTGCTTTCTTGTGTGCTGCTATTCATAAAATCCCATGTATTCATTTAAGTCTAATTCATTTTATAAACAAAAAGTTGCGCAAAACCAAGTGAATAGCAAATAATGCCAGAGGCAAGTTAGAAAAAAGGTAACATAGTAAATAGCACCTTACTGTAGTAGTAGCTATAGCAAAGTGAAATTGCTGAACAATTTACAGCTCCCCAGTGTAAAGAAAAACAGAAATGGAACTCTAAAGGTAAACACGTCACTCACAAGAAGCAGTTGTTCTACTCAAAAAATAAAAACCATGATAGAAAACACAAACTACGTAACTTTACCATGAGTAAGACAAACCAGGATTTATTAAAGCACTCATTAAGAAAAAAACCACAGAGAAAATTACTGCACTTACCTTCACTGTTTTTAGCAAAATTCAGCTTTATAAGTGATTTGGCATCTAGTTTCTAAAGAAAATGAAGCATTAAAAAAATTAATCACAACAGAGTCTAACCGTGGAAATAAAAGGAAACTGTAACATCAGTGTTAGGATTTTAATAGTACATAATTTATTAATAATATATTGCAAGTCATCTGAATCATCAGAACCCTGGGAATTTAAGTCACAGACAGCCCACAAAAACAAGGCTCACCGAGCCTGAGAACTGGGATACATTTATTTACAGCGTTGTAGTTTGACACAGTACAGTGCTAACCAGAGCGAACAAGCTCGAGAAGTTGCGCAACTCTGCCTTAGCAGAAACTGAAAGGGGAGTTTGCATGACAAGCTAAGAGGCAAAGATCATTGCTGCTGATCAGAAATGACAATTCAGAAGGGACCTCTGATGAAAGTCATAACACCAGCAAGCCATTCTGGCAATCAAGCTCGCTACCTTTTCTGAAATAACTGTAATTTTTCTTTTACGTCAGGAAACGTGTAGTGGAGCCCACGTGATAACTAGCAATAACGAAGAGAAACGGAAGCACAAATCCCCGGAGAGGCGCTTGGGGTCACGAAGGCAGAGCCAGGAGGGATCTTTGGCCAGTTAATCCCCAGGTAACAATTTCATGGAAGAGGGAACTGAGATGGCAGCCGAGGTCGGGAGGTCCTGCAGGCTGACGAAATGGGGGCTATGTTCTCCCACTCCAAGAGAGGACACCACAAACTAAGCTAGCTCCTGCTCTCCCATGCTTCATCACAAGAATGTCTATGACATTTTTTTGCTGGCCTCTCTCCGGAGGGGTCTTCTGACACAGAGAGGAAAGAGCTATCAGGCTGGCAAACACTTCTGGAGGATCAGGCTGCTCCCTCCCCGCAACCCTTCCTAAGACATGAAAGCCACAAGCATGCCCAAAATAACAGTGCGCCTTCGGTAACATGACGGGGCAGGCCCACGTATGCCAGTCATTTGATAGGGTCAGTACGTGATTTGGGCACATTGCTGGCATGACGGGGCACACTGTGACCAGGGTCTTCCAGCTGGAGACAAAGTCCAGCCCAGCAAGCTGCAAGGCTGAGTCAGGATCTCAGATAAAAAAAAACCCCAACAAACCTTTTGATTGTATCAGCTGTCGGAGACAGTTTCACTGCCAAATTGATCATTAAAAGCACACACAGCACAGGCCTTTTAAAAGAAACAATCGGCTCTCTTCTCAAAACACGCACCTGAACAGATTAGGGAGGTTTTTATAACCCAGACAGCTCTTTATAAACAGCTACGAGTGGAGATCTGCCAGCCACGGTGCCGATGCTGCTAGTTCAATCATTATGGCAAAGAACAATAACGAAATCATGTGAAACTAAGTCAGCGTGCTTTTTCTGCCTAGTCAAAATTCATAATCTTGGTTCAGAGAGTACACGTTATGACAGCTGGACTCATTCATTTATAGGAGGGCACTTCTCAAACTGTTTTCAGCTAACTGGCAGGCTCATTTGCTGCCAGAAAGGTAACCATCTCTCTAATTTATTAGCAAGAAGAGCAATGAGGGCTAGTAGGAATAAGATGGGGAAGGGAAGAAAGACGCCAGGTTAGGTGATATTTAGTTAGGCAATGGAAGACCAGTGCTGCTGTTTTTCCTTAAGCGGATTCTCAAAAAAATCCAACCCCAACATCTGCACACCGCTGGGGTACAAAGAAAGCCAGCAAAGGCAAGGGCACGTTCTGAAATGACTAAATGAATGCAGAGCTTTATTCATTTATCTATCTTTTAACTAGAAAAAAATTGTCAAAGAAATAGTAGGGGAACAGCAGAATTGCCAAAATGAACATAGGATTCTGGACAGACCCTTTCAACCTAAACAACTTATTAACACAAAGCAGCACCCACCTGTGCACATGTTGTGCAACAGCCCAAAAATTATGTCCCAGAAAAAGCTTCTTTAGAAATATGACCGCTGGAAACATTGATAATTTGAAAGAAGGACTTTACATTATCTTCCTGGCAGCCTTGAGCTATCTCCAAAACATATGAGCAGATCATCTTTACACAAAAATGGAAACAGTTCCCTAAGAAACAGTTTAGCATGCCTGAAGATTCAGATTTATACCTTGACAGAAATTTAGTGGAAAAGACAGACTAAACTGCTGTACAGACTTTAAAGGTAGCAAAAGCTGCAGTACGCCGTTTCATCTGTCAACGTATGATGTATTCTTAGACATGCTGCCAAGTCCTCAGACTCTTACTCTGTACCCAGGGAAATAGTATGGTATTTCAGGTCACATCTTTCCATAATATGGAAAAAGGTTAGTTTTCAGCATCACTTCCTCATGGTGCATCAGCTGCTCGTGCTGGCATCTGTTCCCCACCGAGACCAGCATTTACACAGTCTTACATGTCAACAGTAAATAAAAAAATAGTGATTTTCATATAGGAGTTGAAATACATACACTGCCTGGAGTTTTTTTCCAGGATGAGAACTCTATACTGAAGTGCTGTATGAATGTTGTAAACTTCTATTGCTGCAGACTGGCCTCCTATCAAACTTGTGTTGAAGAAGTGACCTTGGCATGTCAGCTCACACCCTCTGGAGCAGCTCTGCGCTTCAGCTCAGCTTGCAACTGCTTCGCACCCGAGCAGTCCCACGCTGTATCAGGAGGGAACTTCCTGCTACTGATAAAGGATGTTGTTTGTGCAATCTATTTATGAAAAGGAACGGAAACGGACCAAGAGTTGTATATGAGAAAATACGTGGGGGAAATATAATTAGGGCAACACCTCAAAAATATTTTGAGAAGTTGATTAACATGTCTTAATGCATGGAAAGACAAGAGGGGGATTTAGTGTTTTGTCAAAGGAAACCTTTGGAGCACCAGAACAGCAAAACCAGGTGGTGATCTGCTACAAAGGATTGCCGTGACCTACAAATGCAGCTCAGTGCCTGAGACCAGGCTGCAGCATCGGGCAACTGCACAAGGAGCAGCCGCAGAGGAGGGAGTCCAGCCCACATGCCAGGACTTCCAGTAGGTCCAATTTTGAAAGACCTACACGTTACACAGGGAACTATGAAAGAACATGATATAGAAAACCTTTTTCATAATTTTTTTTCCTCTCAAGTTCTTCGTTTCACATGAAAACAGGGTTATCTCATGTGTGGGTGAATCTGCTTTTATTTATTCTCCATCAAAAGTCAAAGCTTTCCAAGCACCATCACACAGTTTGTTGCCATGGAAATGACCATTATGCCACAAACAGGCGCCAGTCTTCACAGGAAGAGACAGCAGGAGTGAATGAATCCTAAAATGAGTTAAAGCACTTGTTTTCATGTATTTCTTATTACAGATAAAACATAAGGGAGCTCAAATATTGCATACACAGCTGAAGTTCAAAACTATTTCCAACCTGAGTTTCCCCGACACGCACCTACCATCCAGTTTCAGCCAATCTCCAGTGAAGAAAGCAAGGAAAAAAGTTTATTAAAAACACTTGATCTAATTAAAATTCTAAATTCTTAATGAAAACGAAAGGCCACAAGCATGCACCACTTCCCCTAAGCAGAAATAAGAGCTGCATATTCACTTCTAAAAATATTTTATGCGAGAATACTGGAAAGCAGACACATTTCTCGGCACGTAGTGCCAGCTGCTCCACAGCAAGGAAGGGCTAAAAAAAAAACAAACCCAAAAACCGTGCAAGCTTTTTTCTCAGCTGACTCCTCTCTCGCCGGCACACTTCCACAAAGGCAGCCAAGGCTACTTTTGGCTGTGACCTACTTTCTTGCAGCAGCGAGAAGCCCCACTGCCCTGCGTGCTCTCATCTGTCAGCTGACAGCACTCGTTCCTGCGGGATCCCAAAGGGCAGCATCCTTTATTGATACCCAAAGCAGAGGTTATTACGACGCGTAGGTTAGTGGGGCACTGTGGCAGCTCGCGGATGAAGCATGCTGATTGTTTCGAATTAAATCATTCTCTGTCATCGCTCTGTGTCTCATGAAGATATGACCTACAATCCCTGCGCATCAATTAGTTACACTCTCTGAATCCCTTTGGTCTGTGGCTGCATGTTCTTCTTGTTAATGAGGCTCTGACCCTGTTGGATACGCACCAGCCTGAAAAGCAATCAAAATGGGCTCATTTGATTCTCTACCCACACATGGGTAGAGTTGGTGACATGCGGCAAGAGTTGTATTTAGCAAATACAGACTTTCGCACTCTATCAACAGTAATTGAGTTAGCGTTAAAATGTTCAACACTTGGGGATCGGACACCCTTCTGAATGGCCTCTGGCAGGAACGCACAATAACCCAGTGGAGCTATCACAGGGAAAAATTAATGTGTCACATCTGAACTGGTTGATAACCCAAGGACAAAATCATCCAGGGCTGATATGGCCATTTGGTAGGTTGTCATCCCAGCAAAACAAGCAACACAGAGTTACCTTAAATAGAAGAGAAAGCCAAACCAAATACTAATATTAAAACACAATGTTGCCTATCAAGTACCAAATTGAGCTTAACAACAGCAAATTAATTTTGTATTAAATTCTTCGGTTCCTTTAAAGATGAGACCTGTTACTTTTTGCATACAACTTCACATTTTAAGAAGCCCTCTTACAATTTTCCCTGCTATAAAACCTTCAGGAAATATGGGGATATGAATTGAATCAATAGGATTGGAATAACTCCATGTATAATGTTACTTATTTCAGATCTTGTAAATGGATTTAATGATGATACAAGGCACTGGAAATCCTCAGCAAGTCTACACATTATGGGAATGTAATTGGAAACAGCAGCACTGTTTTAACAAGATAAGCCATCTTCATGTAGTTTAATATTTCATGAAAAATTTGGGGTCAGCAGCGAAGAGGCCAGAAGAGTCTCACAATTCAAGGCATCGTTTCTATGTTCAGTTCAACAGCAAAAATGCTAGATATTTATCACCTGGACAACTGTCTACCAAATGTTAAAAAGATACCCTCAATGCACATTCTTGGATGAAGCTGCTGTTTAACTGCAGCTTTCATCTAC